AGAAAATACTGAACCATAGAGATAAAAATAGCCCTGTGATTCAAATTATAAATTGTATTTGGAATAAAAATGAGAGAACTAGGGGTGCTAAAAGACACATCCTCCAAAGACAGATATTTACATGGGAATGTGGCATATAATTAATTGACATATTACTGATCTTGCTGGATTTTATTCTGCTTTACTTCCATAAATTGCAGGATCTTCTTTACTTTATCTTTGCCAGAAGATTTAAACTTTAAAAGCCTTGCCCTCATAATTTGCAAGTTAATTTATTTATAAAGTAAATATAAACGCTGCTTAAGCTAATTCAAATTAAATTAAAAGTAAAATAAGTAGCCAACCTTATCACTGTCTGTAACCTACTAACAAGGTAAGGAAAGCATCAGATGAGCTACCTGAGAAACTAACGTTACGTTTCCCCACTTTAAAACCAAACAAACATGGTGGTTCCGTGCCATGTTAATTTCTTTTGAAAAAGGTTGCATGTTATCACTTTTTTCGCTTTACAAAGCGCAGGCTATTTTAATTATTGTGATCAATTTGCGCCGTCAATCCCGGTGCATGCGCGCTTCATTTGCAGTCTGGACGCTGAGGCTCTGACTGAGAAGGACTCCTGCAGGAAAACGCGGTTGGGGTGGGGGAGGCGCCCCACGGCAGAGTAGGAACGATGCATGCTTTCACGTAAGAGTCTCCAAAAGCCGCCAGTGACACCGAAAAAAGTCGCCAGATTTGTCGCTAGTCGCTTTTTTGAAAAATAGTCGCTGGAGGGGTCTGAAAAGTCGCTGAGTTGGTAACACTGCACCTGCGGCGCTGACTCACTCTGCCGTATTTTTTTTTCTTCCTCTTTCAGTCAAGAGGCAGTGATGACGGCGCGGCCGATGACGCAATAATCGCGCGACACAACTAATCGATGATGAAATTCGTTGCCAACGCTTTTAAAAGTCGATTTTTATCGATTTTATCGATTCGTTGTTGCAGCCCTAAACTTTATTGAAATCTGTTCATCTCTTCTTTGTTTTGAATATTAACCCCTTGAACCCTACGGACCCACCGGCGGGTCCAGCTGCTACATGACCTCGTAGTTTTACCAAACCCCCAGTATTGATGTAAAAAACATATTTGGCACAGTTTGGTGACATTTATGGATAAATGCGCCAAAATGGCCTCTCAGCCTAAGAAATTTCTCACTAATACCATTGTAAAATAAATATGATTTATCTGATTGAGTCCAAATTTGGTATATTTTTACACCACATTTAGATTTGAAAGTCTGTACTACTTTTTTGTGCTATAAATAATATATTGGTAGTGTTTTGCAATGTTTATTTCAAAGAAAATTTTGGCGAGGTTCAAAAAATGCAAAATATTTTGTATTTTGTCCCTAATATTTCAGGCAGGGTCAAAGCTACAATGGTGCTGACACCAGAAAACCATTCTATGTCATCTTACCTTTACAGACGTACCAAAAGTTTCTTCTTAAATCTAATAGCTTTGAGGCTATAAGTTATTTACTTTTGTGTGTTTTTGTCAGGCAGAAATTTATTTATACCCCCTTAGGGTGTAAGAGGTTAAAGGTGACTTTCAGATAATAGATGCTAATGTCTTGTGTCTTGCTAATGTTTATTTATTTTAGCAGGAAATTTAATTCAATTAATAAATTTAATTGATCCTGAAGAAAAATTTAATAAACTTGCTCATTTCAAGTGTGCTCCTCTGGGCTGTGTACAGATCTGTCAAAAATCTAAAGTTCTTTGTTTTATTTTAGCTCAGATGCTGCAACAAATAACAGCTGTGATATGCAAATGTTCACCAAAGGTTTCTATTCCCTCTTACGTTATCGCCATTGTAAAGCAATTGGCTTGTGTGTTTTTTTTTTTTCATCAGAGCTGTATATTTTCAAAATTTACCTGTTTCTGGATAATTTTTGTAAATAATTTCTTTTTCATTATTTACTCAGAGAAGTCAGACTTCTTTGATATTTAGAGGCTGACATGTTTGCCCATTTGTTTGTTGAGCTCAAGCTCAGTCATACTGGATAGAGAGCATCTGTGAACATCAGTTTTCAACTCCTGATACAGATTGTCTATTGGATTAAGGACTTAACTGTTACTGGGCCATTCGAATACATGACTGCTTTGATCTGATTTATTCATTGTGGCTCTGGCTCTATACTTGGGGTTGTTTTCCTGCTGCAAAATATACTTCCTCCTCAGTCAAAGTTTTTGCAGCCTCCTTTAGGATCTGATGACAGGAAATTTCTGTGTTTTACTTCATCGAGCTTGTTATTAATGTTGATTAGGCCTCCTGTTCATGTGGTACAAAAAACGTCCCCACAATATCTTGCTGCCCCACCATGCTTTGCCACAGCTGTTGTCTTAAGAGCAATTTGCAGTGATGCATATCTGCTATGCATACCTTGCAAGCTGGTCTCGAATGCATACAACTGCCTTCTGCATGCTGTGCACCTAACATGTTTTTTTTTTAAAGAAAATCACAAAGAAGACTTCTGTTTTTTGCCACCCTTCCATATGGTCAACTTTTGGGTTTGTTGTATATATAAATTCTTCAACAGGATCTTCGGATTTCTGCAACTCAGTACCTTGGGCCTCTCTGTTGCTTTTATAAATGATGCTCCTCGTTAGTTTTGCGGGGGACACCTGTCTCCTGGTAGTTTTGTAGTTGTCCCATACTCACCCCCAATTTTAGAATGCTTTAAACAAACGTCTGTGAGATGCTGAAAGTTTTAGGTTTTATAGGAGTTTATAATCCGAGCCCAAACATATTCACAACCGTATCCCTGACCTTTTGGGCGTGTTTTTTTTGTACTCCATGATTAGATAAAAGGCATTAAATGACGCACACGGCTTTTGTTTTTGCAGTACTGCGCCACCTAAAACAAATGGATTATTCTGGATCTTTTCTTAAGGGTGCCAAAACAAAGGGAAACTACATACTAAGGCACACCACACTTTGTATTGCAAATGAATATTATTAAAACTGCTTCCCTCCTCTTTCTACTTATGCATTTGTTCTAGTCTATCATATAAAATCTTGTTTTATGGCGGTAATGTGACAAAATGAGGTATTGTTGTAGGGGTATAAATGCTTTACAAGGCAGCATCTTTCTAACAAACGGGTAACAAACAGGTGTGGCTGTAAATGTTGATTAATAAAAGTATAAACACATTGAGATAAAGCTAAATGTTTAAGTTGGGTTGTGTAAAAAACTATATTTCTATTTGGCTTAGAAATATGCTGCATAATATGAACATAGCTCAGATAAAGCTACTTTCCAAAGCCTCTGTGGAGATGCAGCAAAAAATACCAACTCTGGATAATAAGCTTCCACCACTAAACCATTATTTCAACTTTTAGTGTTCATCTCTTTTATTTTTTAATCAGATCCTTTTCAAGAAAATATAATCAAGTTCGGGCTTCTAATTTTTTTTGTGGTGTCTTTTCTCACTTGTTTCTTTCTGCTTGTTGTCAGCTGCTTTGGTTACAGAAAACCAGAAAGTGTTCATCTCAATTACAGTTTGAAATAATTTGCATTTAAAGGATTTCAAAATATTGTTTTAGCATATATATGAGACTGATAAAGGTTTCAGAAGGCCAATGTCAGTACCAATTATTTTGACACCGGACTAGATAATGATAATCAATATTAATATATGTAATGAAAGACATGATCAGTACTGATATGAAATGTCAAATGAAATTTTAATAGTATAAGGATTTAGCCTCTGACAGTCTAAGCATGGATGGTATTAGGGATGACCTTTTGTTTAAAAATTATGTTTAATTATTCAATTTCTTTTTTTTTTTTGTAATACTTTGATTTCCATAGGATAAAAAAAAAGACAAAAATGTATTAATATTTATCGATACAGTAATGAATCTAAAAATGCATGTATGTAGCCGAAGATGTATAAATACAAACTAAATTTCTTTTTCAAAAACGGCTCAGCCTATTGTACTAATAGGGCTGGTGTTGTGACCCAGTTTCATTCAAGTACATAACGTAATAGGATGGCATACTTTTGTGTAAAGTCACTCTGATGCTGGGTTAGTTTTCACATGCTGAACAATCTGCTGCTAATTCCTGGAATGGAATTAACACCTCTTCCAAGTTTTCCAAGAATTTGTTGTTGGTGATGCAGAATTGCTAAATTTATGTAGATGCAAAATCAGATTAAAGGAAAACAAAACAAAACAAAACTGATAAAGAAGGGAGATAACTTTGTAAAACACCTAATCCAAGGAAATGATTCACCAGCTGATTCAAAAGTTAAGTTTTAAAACCATAACACGGAGGGTTTATTGTTTGGACATGCTGGTTAAATTTCAACCACAAGGACATTTATTGATGAATTATAGAGCAGCTGGAATGACCCACAGATGAAGTTCGACCAATGCAGAAGTTCAACATTTTGGATTAATCATAGGCCAAAGTTTAGGAAATACCCCAAACTAAAAATAGAAATGCAATGATTAGACATTTCCTTCTTTATGACCATTTTAAGTTGTTTTTCTAAGGACTCTAGCATATAAATAAATAAATAGGTGAATTTGGTTTTAATCCAATCATTAGATGCAGACCATAAATTAAACTTTTAACAACATGCTCTTTGTTAATCCATTTATAAACTGTTTTTATGTATTTATTGAATAGGCTAAGGGGGTAAAAAGTCACATAGTTTATTATTTTACTTTTCTTTCACTTATAAATGGATCATTTTGTTGGAAGAATCTTAATGTCTTAAGAAAGTTTTTCTTAAAGGTTTAGTCTATCTTCTTATACTAAGAATGACGATTGATTTCACCCTGTTTGGTAATTAAGTTGAATATTTAATGCCAACATTGATTAAAAAATATTTTTAAAATGCCTTATTCATGTTTTTATACTTAAAGCTGATTGCTTAAGTTTTTATACGTACATGTTTTTGTTTAGAAATAAAGTAACCCTAATCTTCTCTCCTTTTGTCTCATGTTTTTAGGGCATACTCCCTAGTTGACTCCAGTCAGGTGTCCACCTTCCTGATCTCCATCCTTCTTATCGTCTATGGCAGCTTCAGGTGAGTCATTTAAATAATTAATTTAAGCACTTCTACCATTAGTTGACATCTTTGTTTTTGTTATTTTTTTCTTTTTCTCTCTTAAATAATGGCAATAATCTAATTATTGTTTAACTTATCCAAGTCCTCTGTAATCTTCTTAAGCAGACAGCTTTATATCAGCCTGAACTACAGCTGAATTAGATAAAGTTTTTCCTAGATTACTTTAAAAAAAACTGTCCTTGGGAGGAAGCATTCCTACCTTCAACCAAACACTTAACTAGTCATAGCAAGATAACCAAGTGATACTGCCAAGCATCTGCTTTTTGAATTTGCAGCAAAATACAACGATAAGAAAGGTGAAAGCTCTGTTTAAAATAAAAAATATATATTAATAATAACAGAAATATTAAAGGGGGTGATTGCAAAATTACTGGTATTTTTCCCACTTTAATTATGTGTATCAATAATGAATCCATTAAGAAGTAACCAACATTTTCCTCTGTCGTCTCTTTCATTTTCGGTCATCAAAATGTGATCATGGTCATCTACATTATTTGCACGGCTAACAGAAAGTTGAAGACCATTTCAGTGGCCGATTTTTTTTAATTGAAAAGATGAGTTCCATTGCAAAATGCTTGAAATTCTATAACCTTCCAAATATTGTGTCTAAGCAGCCTTTGCAATTGTGATATAGCACATGTTTGTTCCTCCAGTGACGGGAACATCTATTTTCTGCAGCTCTAATACATAATAGAATCAGGCTTACATCTTTTTGAATTTGCAGCATGTCTTATTGCTAATTTGCAGACATTATCTGGCCACCTTTGTCAGTTTCTCTTTGGTTCTGTTGAGCACATTTAATTATATTGGTAATATTATAATTTCAGTATATACAATATATAAGCTTGTAAACAGAATTTGATCTCATTAAATGTATGTTATAAAAGTGATAGTTCAGGAGAAATTGATTCCTTTCCTGTTAAATCTCCTATTGTCTCTGAAATTAGCCTGTCCGGTTTCTTTTTCAGTTTGGTCAATTTATTTAACATCCTATATTAACTTTATATTCAGGCTTTTTAATTTCAATTAGCAGAACATGTAAGAGTGGAGCTTTGTCTTTATCATTCTTGAATGTCTTCTTTAATATGTTTTTGCTTGGTGCAAAATATTGCAAACTTTACCATTGAATAGATTAGACTATCTACATAATATGATTATTGTTTTCATGAAAATTAGTTGTTAATAGTGATCAGTTTAATGGTGGTGCAAAGCAGCCGTCCTAAAGATTAGCTGAAGTAATAAAACTTTTGTAATGATAATCTATAAGTCCACCTTTCTTGTAAAATCTGTTTCTGGGTACTATATATTATAATAAATGTGAGTTTCATTAGGATTTTAAGTTCAACCATTGAACATTAATTTATTTGACATCTTTTCGCTGTAAATTTTAGATTTTTTTCTATATTACTTACTACTTCTTTTTGGCAGCCTAAATGAATTCAACTCTGCGGGCACGTCTTCAGAGGAAGTTAGACTTTTCGTTTTTAGGAGAAATGAAGTGTGATATTTCTACATGACTCTGTTTTCTGCTGCTTTTGCAGGTCATTAAACATGGATTGTGAGAACCAGGAGAAGGATAAAGACGGCAACCCCACAGCAACGGGGTCTTTTAATAACAGCAACACAAACAACAGTAAGTGTTACAAATCAAACTCCATCAGTTGCTTGATGTGGCTGCTTTGATGTTATGAAGTTTGTGTTTTTATGACATGATTTGTTTTCCAGGCATTCAAACTATAGACTCCACACAGGCCCTGTTTCTGCCAATAGGAGCTTCTGTGTCCCTACTAGTCATGTTCTTCTTTTTCGACTCGGTTCAGGTGGTCTTCACTATCTGCACTGCAGGTAACTATGCGGCTCCGGAGTGCAACAAAAGCACCACACATGTAGAGTCATTATAAGGTTTTCCCGCCGCTGTTCGGTGGTTACACCCAGGAGAATGTCTTGAAACCGAATACCATTAGTTGCCCCATTTAACTCTCAGAAATGACTCCTACAAGCTGTCAAGGTGTATTAGACTGAAGCTCTCACTGCTGTGCTTTTCTTCCTTTCCTCAGTTCTTGCTACAATTGCATTTGCATTCCTGTTGTTACCTATGTGCCAGTATCTGACCAGACCCTGCTCCCCGCAGAACAAGTAAGGAAGTTCTGGCATTTTGCCTTTTCATATCTCTTCCTTTCTGTTTTTTACATCTTCCAAACATTCAGAACGCTCAATGAATCGGCCTATTACCGTACCCTTAACAAGTCAGCTTTACAATATAAACATTGGAATCTTTGGTTCTTTATGTCTCTAAATATTAAAGGACAGCCTAAATATCATTGTTGATTAAAAAAAATTGTAATCAACCAGATTTTTTTTTTTTGCCCCACCAAAATGCTTCACTAAAAATAATTCCCATGTCTGTAAAAAAAAAAAAAAAGAAAAAAAAAAAAAAGAAATACAAAATGATGCTTTGACATGATTAGCTAAACTACATTGAATATATGTGATGTTTAGTCGTCCTTGTAACCAAAGTGAAACGCCTTTAATCAAGATTTTTCTGATTTGGCTTTACATGTCACACCTGGGCGATGTTGCTGCTCAAACTGCGACATCAAAAAAATATTTGATTTGAACCTGCTTGACAAAAAGGGATTTATGCTAAAAAAAAAAAAAAAGAAGTTTAAAAAAACACATTATGCCCTGATTTAAAAAATGTAATCAAGAGCAAATAAAACATAGTCTTTGGCCTCTCATTGTGGAAAAGTTTTTTAAAAAAATTCTATGGTTCCGGGTCTCCAATAAACCTTTTATGGAGCTGTTGTCTACGATTCCTCTAAGAGTTCAGAAAAGAACTCAGAACAACATAATGAGTACTGGAGGCCTCACTTACATAAAATAAGATGAAAATCAATCATTTAATATTCTGAAAGACAGAGGAAATTTGTATTTATAGATACATTTTAAGCTAAACACCACTACTGACAAAGTACCTCACAAAAGCATATAACACAACATTTAAAAAAAATCACCTATATAATCCCAAAATAACCCCAAAAATAAATGTATTAAAGAGATGAAAAAGAAAGTACATGTTGCAACTAACAGTTATTAATACTTCAGCTGTTGATTGGACAACGAAGGCTGCTCTGTCACTATGTGTAAGTCATATATCAAAGTGACATAAACAACAAATAATTTGACTGAACTTGAAACAAGGTAACCTGTTGTGACTGTATGTATTCAAACCATTCTGCAAAGAGGGGACAAAAAAAGCTCCTCCACGCCGATGCAAAACATGCTTAAGCAAACACTGGATGTTGGCTGTTATTGTCCCAAGAGACACAATCGCTGATTAGGTTTATAATAAGTTTGAATAGGTCCTCCTAATGCTTAAGGTCACCATTAAAAACTGCTTATTAACTAATGTTATCATTGTTTGTTTGATGATACTAAACATTTAAGTTTGGCAGAAAACAAAAAGTTGTAAAGTGACGGATCCTTTCTAGAGCATTGGTTTTTTTCTGTTTTAATTTCTTTCACTATAAAAGCTATTCTTTTTGTTTTACTTCTTGTTTTTTATGCTAAAAATATTCAAATTAGGAATTGAATCTTCTTAAGCATGCCACATGTTTTTCTCTCCTTTCCACGAGCCATTGTTTCTCTTCATAAAATGTAAAATGCTTGTTCTTGTGCATTTTCTCTGATTGAGATTTTTCTTTTGCTTTTTTTTTTTTACTTTCTTTGCTTTGCAGGATTTCATTTGGTTGCTGTGGACGCTTCACCTTGGCCGAGCTGTTGTCGTTCTCTCTTTCCGTCATGTTGGTCCTCATCTGGGTGCTGACTGGACACTGGCTCCTCATGGACGGTGCGTCACTCTGTGGCAGCTCACGTGACAAAGTGTTCCCTTTCATGGGAACGTCGACAGATGTCACACACATTTCAAGATTTCATTTAGCAGCTTTAACATCTGAACCAACGCATTAGACTCATTCCTCAGTTTTTATACAAATTAATCACATTCCTTCTCATATTTTATCCCTCAGTCTTAGCACAGACTTGTCTTTTAATATCAAAAATATATATATTTTTTAGGAATTTCATAGCTGTTAGTTGTGACTTCATGCTTAATACATTGCATGACAAATCTAGTTTTCATCATCTGCTGAAGGAACTTGACCCAACTCACACTAAGAAGGTTTTACATTGTTATTTTCCAAGCCTTTACCGCAGTGCACTCAATTCTTAAAGGGGCTTTGATAGTCAGCTAAATTGCAACTCCTTCCATCATGCAGTGGATAAAAAAAAACGACATGTACCTCTGTATTCACATAGTTGCTCAGTCAATTTTGGTGGCAGTTTTAAGTGATAATGCAGGTCTAGAAAACTCAAAGGCTCTACTTTATCAAGCCTCCAGAATATGCATCATATCCATTTCATGTTCAAGTATTAAGTTCAATTTTAAAAGTATATATGAATATCTGTTCTTTAGTGTAACCTCATAGATTATGTTTTTGTTTTTTTGTTTTTTCTTGGATAAATGAAATATATGGAATCTGTTCTAATCCCGATATGTGTGCTGGTTGTTACCAAAATGTGGAAATAAGTTTTTAAATGTCCAATTTTCTCTGCCTTGTTGCAGCTTTAGCCATGGGCTTGTGCGTCGCCATGATCGCCTTTGTTCGACTTCCCAGTCTGAAGGTGTCTTGCCTGCTGCTGTCAGGACTGCTCATTTATGATGTTTTCTGGGTAAGAAGTGATCTCCATCAACTTAACCTGCATCACTAAAAAGATGCACAGCTACTAGGGATGTCAATTCCAGCGGTGTTTTCAAAAAACGAAAGCATCAATAGGCTGTCTATTCTGAGGTACTTGCTGCTATTCTGTTAATGCAATCATCCTCAGTAAGTTTAAAGATCAGTTAGTCAGTCCTCTAAGGAGGAATTGCAGACAATTTTTATATTATATGGAGGTTAACCTAAACTTTTCTACCCGGCTAAGAAGATAAAGTAATATGGCTGATATTACAGTCTAGCTATTAAAGGGGTCATAGAATGATTCTATAGGGTATTTGGTGCTGAATAGGGTGGGTAACATTGATTTGGCTGAAAATGGCATATTTGCTGTTCTATGAGCCCTAATGCAAGTCTGGCTAAGAGCCCCAAAATGAAACGACAAGTTTTCTTTCTTTTATGATATGCTCATGAATATTTAGATGAGCTGTGTGCTGATTGGTTGGTTAACAACAAGCAAAACTGCTGAGCAAAGATTCATCATAGCAACAAGCACTAACTCACTCTGGAAAATGTAATAGTTGATATTGTAGGGTGACCAGACGTCCTCTTTTTTCCCGTACATGTCCTACTTGTCATACCTAAAAAAAAAATGCGATGGGGAATTTCAAAAATCCTCCTGGATTTTTGTCGATTACAGTGCAACAGAATCGAGACATTAGCTCCGGGGCTGTCCGGGAACTCCGGCGGATGGAGGGCTGGAGCCAGCAGGGGACCGGGCGACCGAATCCGACCCGGTGATTGTAGCCGCAACCCTGTGCTTCCCCCCGCCTGTGTTACCGCGCAGGCAGGACCGTCACTGGGTCGGGTTCGATCGCTGGCTTCGGACACGGACCAGTCAGCCCCGCCCGCACACACACCCCAAAAAAAAAAGTCTCCTCCTTTTCAGAAACCCTAATCTGGTCACCCTAGATATGATAGCATTATCATATCTATTCATATTCTTGTGCCAGTGAACCAGTGGGCTGGTCTGTATATCAATTTCGGGGCGTGACAAAAGTACAGGCCAGAACTGAATTAGGAAACATCGCCGAATTGACATCAATTCGGTGCTTCGTCCGAATTTGCCCGTTTTATGGTGGAAGTCGTTTGTGAGACTTGCAGAGAAAGGAGGTGTGGATGGGGTTTGAACTTCTCTGTACGTCCATTTCACCCACTGAACTATCGTTATTCATCTATGACAATGTAAACTCTGTTTTGCCTTCTATGACCCCTTTAAGTAAAAATGTTAACTAGTTTTACATAAAATAATTTCTGATATTTTTATTGTTTGAGGTAATATAAGCTTAAAAAAAATAATTATTTATGTTTAATTAGCATTTCTTAATGTCTATACAGAGAACAAAATGTTACACAGAGGATCATACATTGATTTTTTTATTACCATTGATTTGAAAATTTAATTTAAGAAAGTCTGGTTGCATGATAACTAAAATAAACTTTTATGTTTTAAATGAAGCAATCCTCTTTTTGAGTGACATGTTTTGGTTCGTCGAACAGAACAATATATTCTAGAATAGTTGGTATAATTATACATCAGTGTAATGCTCTAAAAAGAAACCAAACATAACTTTTTATTTTGTCATTTTATGTGTTGAATTAGTTTTTAAAGCAGCAGAGATCATCTGGGTCTCATTCATAAGAGCCCATTTTCCCTCACAGGGGATTAAAACATCAACTCAGTCATTAGCAGTGAATAGCTGGGATTATTACTCCTTTGTGGGTTATAATTTATCTTAAAAAGTAATCGTAGCATCCTTTAATATGGCTTCTGCCCAACTAAAACTGTTGATCCTTCATCACTGATGGTGGAAAACATTTATTTTTTTCATACCCAATGCAGTTAAAGGGATAAATGGAAAATAATTTTTGATTCTTGGAAATGCGATGGATAGAATTTCAGCACAACTAATGGCTGTTTTTCTCTTGTTTTTTTCCCCTGAAGGTGTTCTTCTCAGCTTACATCTTTAACAGTAATGTGATGGTTAAGGTTGCCACTCAGCCTGCTGAAAATCCCATAGATGTTCTCTCCAGGAAGCTCCACCTGGGGCCAGGAATGGGCCGCGATGTTCCCCGACTCTCCTTACCTGGCAAACTGGTCTTCCCAAGGTAACACTCACATTACAGTGGTGCCGGAAAGTTTGGTAATGTTTATCAGAACCTGATATATTTAAGAACAAACGCATCATCAGATTTTCACAGAAATCTTAAAAGCAGATGGAGACTAACCACAACAACAAGTGAAACAAAAGATGTAGTTTTATTGTTATTGTTAAAATAATTTGGATGTTTTAAGGGTAAATTGTGGTTTAATCGCCATCTATGAATTAGGATTTCGTGTAACTCTGCTGATGCTTGATATTTAAAGAAATATCAATGATTCTGAAGGGTTAACAAACTTTCCAGCACCACTGTAATCAAGGGATTTGGTAAGATTTATAGAATTGTTTCTGTTTTTCACAAAATTGACCTTTGCTGGTCTTTGTGAGATTTGTAGCTTTGTTAAATACTCTGAAAATGGGTGTGTTCATGCAATTCTTCTAAGTTCTCTTTTAAAAGGATCTAAACATTTGATAGAAATATTACTTACTTTACAGAGTAGCCCTCTGAAGCTATTCAGAGAATGTGGGGGGGGGGGGGGGGGAAAGCTTTTAGGATAATCCTTCCACAGTATTATTTGGAACTGATCGCTTTGCATTCATGTCCGTAACATCAACACATTGTCTAGGTGTGAGTACTGATGGAGATACTATCATGACAAGACTTTCCGGTGCTCAAGCTTCACTTGCAACAAAGCCTTTCCACTCGCAGTGTACTGCTTCCTTCCCTGATCCTATTTGTTACTTAGCAGGGCAGCGAGATGCCTATTAGATGTGACAGTGGTCAACAGTGGTATTAGCCTCTGAACACAGCCCCTTCAGCCACCTCATACTACTTTAGATTTTGCTGTACTCGATATTAAGCTTCCCAGAGCATGTTTGGCTTTTAATCTATGTAAAAACCTGAATTTGAAGGTTATCAGTTGGCCCTTAGATTTTTAGCAATTACAAAGCAACTATCTGTTCCTCCTTTTTAGCTTTTTTTTTTTTTTTTAGTAATGATGATGGATGCAGAACATATTTTAAACCACTTCACAGGAAAAACAGGTTTGATAAACTAAAAAAAGAAAACAAGCTAAACCAGAAGCTGAGAGATGTATCATCTTTCACCTGGTCTTGCCATGTTTTCTTGATTCCTAAATAGTTTTGGAAATTGTAAAGTTTTTTTTAGGTTTTTTTACATTTCCAATGTTAAAAAAGTTAGACAACTTTAAAGTCTTACCTGAAATTTTTGCACAGAAAAAAAAGACAACTCTCCGCTTCCAAATGGTGTTTTCTGGAACCATATTATACGTTTGTTTATGCAGAGGATGCAAACATTTGACCTTTTTAAATCCCAGGATATTTGTAAAGCAAATAGTTAGCTGAGAACACTTCTCCTTGGGGCTAAGACCTTTAAGTTAAGTCAGTATTGAAATGTAATACATTCATTTTAGTTGGAGAGCACTGATGTGTACATTAGCATTAACTGCACTGCTGAGCCACACTGATTCTCTAGTCTGTCTGCTCTAGTGTTTCATCCTCATTTCCGCTCTTTTCCTCCATGCAGCTCCACAGGAAGCCATTTCTCAATGTTGGGAATAGGAGACATCGTGATGCCAGGGCTTCTGTTGTGCTTTGTCCTGCGTTATGATAACTACAAGAAGCAAGCAACAGGGGAGGTCCCGGGGCCTGGCAACATGTCCGGACGCATGCAGCGCGTCTCATATTTCCACTGTACTCTCATCGGATACTTTGTGGGTAAGAAGCCAATCAATGGGCTGTTGGATGTAGAAGGTCAAGGTTTTTAAAGGTCTTCTTAGATTTGTCTTGCAGAATTAGGTTAAACAATAAGGATTATTATGTCTTATTTGCCACAGTCAAACAAAGCATCGTGTGACTGTAGCATCTGAACTCCACTCAACCAAGGCCTGCAACGGTTCTGCCTTTTTCCAATCAAACCATAAAAAACTTCAAAGCAATCTTAAACAAACTAAGCTCTAGCTCCATTCGTCAAAGTTTTACCCACAACCTTCCTTAAGAAAGCTCTGCCTGTCATAAAGCCTGATTTTAATTCAAATAATTCATATATCCCTTTTGTCAGGTGTTTTTTTATTTTTATTTTTTTTTCAGCTCCTAAAAATAGCAATTTTCAAACCGTTGTTGAAAAAGGGTAAATTGGACAAGCTGCTACTGCAGAACTACAAGCCCATCACAAACCTCTCATTAATCAGTAAGATTATTTTAAAAAGTTGTGTTTTAGGCGTTAAACACCTAACGATGACCAGCCATTTCCCTGCCTTCCAGAGAGGCGCCTGGAACACTGGGCCAGCCTTTCTGATACAGCCCTTAACCGGTTTATATATTACTTAAGGACAGTGACTGTTTTATGTCAGTTGGTAAATTTTACATCAAAGACCATGAAAAACACCCCTTTTCAGTACCTACAATCTCCCCCCAACTAAGACTATAATAAATATAAAAATTTGGACCAAATTTTGAAGTCGTGAGTCAAGTGACTGCACTGGGTAAATGCATAGAATAAAGCAATGGGTTGATGTGGCAACATTTTCTTTAGCTGAATAAAAAAAAAAAAAGCTGACGTAATATTTTTCACACCAAGAAAGATCATTTAAAAGTTAGCATTCAGCTGCAGTTTATACCGCTAAAAAACACCTGTCAGGTTAGAAATCTGGGTGTAATTAAGGACTTGGACCTGAACCTTCAAAGGCTCATAAAGACAGAAACAAAGTTGGCCTTCTATCACCTAAAGAGCATCTCAAGGATTAAAGGACCAATTATCCCATTTACACTACCCTTAAAAAACCGTGCCCAGACCGGTCCGAGCTCAGTAACTGAGATAACTTATCGTGTGTAAATGGAAAGCAAACTGAACTGAACTGAGCTAGACACAACTGCAGACCAGTTCCAGAGGTGGGCTCGGCTCGGTTTGTCCCTGGCTCGGTTCTCTGATAACAAGAGCGCATGAGCAGAATGCGTCATCTCCATCTGGCTGCACGTTCTGATTGACACTCCATTCTAGTAGTTGGCGGTAATGCCCCTCCGGAAGTTGCTTGCCAACCAACACAAAACAGAAGAACAACAACAACTATAAACAACAATCAAAATCTTCTCCACGCAACATTTTAAATAATGGCTTCAAAAGAGCGTGGTGCGACCTGGGATGATAATAATAATCAAGCATAACTTTCTGAATGTGACGGGCACCGCCATTTTGATTTGCTTGATTCCCTCCTTCTTCGTCTTCTTCTTGTGCTTTATGGTGTTTGGCAAACAACTTTTGGTGCATTACCGCCTTCAATACTGGCAGTAATACCGCAAATCGTCACTGGGAGGGGAGGAGTCGAGGAACCGAGATAGCGTGATGTGTAAACGGTCGTCAGAACAGAGCTCGGCCTGGTTAACTGATCGGCGCTCGGACCGGTCTCAGCATGGATCGGTTTTTCAAGGGTAGTGTAAATGGGGTAAATGTCTCAGCAGTACCTATAAAAATTAATTAAAGTGCTAATTAGTGGAATTGATTATTGCAACAATGTCAGTTATGCTACTGACAGAGTCCTCACTAAAACAGAAAGTGGAACACATCATCTCTATTCTTAAGTCCTTCCACTGGCTCCCCATATCAGAGAATAGACTTACTTCTTAGTTAGTCTGTAAATTACTGAATGGCTTTGCTCCAAAATATATTAGACTTGCTGTTAGTATCTAAACAAATTAGACCTCTCAGGTGTTCTATCCTCTATTCTACTCGGGACTAGAAACAAACATGGAGAAGAAGCTTTTTGTTGTAATACTCCACTAATCTAGAATTAACTCCCGGAAAACTGTAAAAGAAATAAAACCCTCAGTTGCTTTAAACTGAGATAAAAAAAAATTTATTTGTTTAGAGTGGACTTTGACCGAGTTATCTAATCATTAGTTAAGTTTCCAATCAAGATTTTGTTCCAGTTTCCTAATAGTCTTCACTTTGATTTATCTCTTTTTTTTATTTATTTATTAATCATTTTATCTTTTTTATGAAATCGTCTTATTTTAGTCTAACAATTTTATTCTCATGAACCTTGTGCTGCCTCTGTGCCACTGCAATGTGCTTTGTTTTTATAAACTTTCTGTGTATTGCTATGTTTATTCTTGGTATTCTTTATTTATTTGAGAACATTTTGTCTCTCCTCAGGTCTGCTGACTGCCACTGTGGCCTCGAGGATCCATCGTGCCGCTCAGCCCGCTCTGCTCTACTTGGTTCCCTTCACCCTGCTGCCTCTGCTCACTATGGCTTACCTAAAGGTACATTAACAGGTTTATGTTTTATCCATAGAGGAAAAGTTAGAAGATCTAGAAGAGAAACATTTCCTTCTTGATTTTGCTTAAAAGGAAATGAACATATTTTGTTATCACTATTGTTATTTTTCACCACAACACAACTAACCCCCCCACCCCCGGTTAAACATGGTGTTGGCAGTATTATGCTATGGGGAGGCTTTTCTTCAGAGGCTGTATTTAAGTTGGTCATGAAGCAGATAAATGGAGAGAAAAACAGAAAAGGACTTGAGGCTTGGGGCTCACCTAACCACCAGAGCTCCAGTGGGATGTTTAGATCAGTAAATATTTATTTTACCATGACCAACAAACCAATTTCACATTTCTCAGACTTGAGAATTGTTTTTAAGTCTTTAAACTGAAGTTTGTGGAACTGAAATGAAAAAAGTGAACAGGTTCAAATACTTCTTCAGGGACGAGTATCAAATAAATGAGGATAAGACAGGTACAGTAGCAGATTGTGACTCCCGATCTTGATGTGTCTATTTTTTGGGGGGGTGATAATCTCTTGCAGGGGGATTTGCGGCGAATGTGGTCCGAGCCTTTCCATGCCAAGGCCAGCAGCTCTCGCTTCCTGGAGGTATGATGCAACCTGGGGACGAGCAACCAGCGCGGGGACGACTGCTGATCTTTTCCTCTTTATTAGAGGAAAGGAGAGAGGGCACACTGACCATGAGGCCATGTTGTCATCACTTCATGCTTTCCACCAATCAGTGAAGAAAAAAAAAATCCCTAAGAAAGGACACCAGAGTGTGGATCACAACACCCAGACACGAATCATCTTTGCCCCCCTACGTTCTTTTCCCGTTTTATCTCCGGTTCCTCTTTGCCGTTTCTTTCCTGTCCCTTACAGGACATCCTGCCTGTTCTGTTTTTGTGCTTCCCTCCTCTTTGTCTCCTTTTTTTTTCCTCTCTCCCACTGCCCCTCCTTCTGCACGGCCCATCTCATATTTTCCACCTCCCCTCTCTTCTGTCTTTTTGTTATTCTTTCTGGATTCCTTTCTCTCTGATGAACTAAATGGACCACCCCTCACCCCACCTCAGTTTTTTGTGGACTTACAGTTGTGAGACATGGCTGGGATTTATATGTATTTTTTTAGCATTGTCGTGGTCATTATAATTAATGTTAATATAATCAAAGAACTTTAACAAGCAAAGAAGAGTTGGAGTGTTGCAGTGGCACAAGAACAGCAACACAGTTCCGAGTTCTCCCTCTTCTTCAGGCTGCCTGTTTCATCTTCTCCTCCCTGATGACTCCCCCTGGTGCTCCTGCCCTCTTACTACACCCCCTGTGCGTCCCCATCCCACCCCTCCCGCTCCATCTTCTGTTCATCTGCTGTCCTTACCCCAACAGATAACTATGTATTTTATTTAGAAAAGTTTTATTCTTTGCATATACAGAAAGGATGCATTAAAATTGTTAAGCCACCTCCCCGCCACCAGCATTGGGAGTCGAAGGGGGTTGCTTTTATTTGTATATATGTGTACACATGTATTTGCAGTATCATGAGTTTCTATTTGTGTTTGAGAGCATGTTGAAAAAGAGCGGTAAACTGTTGTCCCGTAGCAGCCTGATTTATACTCTGATGAATTGTGGATCCAGCTTTGTGCAATAGAAACATCATGGGAAAAAAATGTAAATTTAGACGACAGTTTCCCGCTCTTATCTTAAAATGTGAGTGCGTGCGTGAGTGAGTGCTGAACAGATGAGCAAGCGGTTATTTTACTCGGTTTTAATTTGAAATCATGTTTAAAATGATGACAGTAGTCAGGTTTGCATTGAGCTGTGTGTTGGATCAAAGGGTTTCAAGCACATGTAACACATGTAAATGGTTTATCTTGTAAAAACAGGAAAAAAAAAATATGTAAGAAAAAAATGTAGAAACTCCACAGAGGTCATTTTTCTTTTCAGTTTTCTGCAGACAGGCAGAATTGTAAACAGTGTTTTTGTTTTGTTTTTTTTCTTCCAAATAAATGAATGTTAAGTAAGTTTCCCAGTCTATTTTACTCTGACTCATACATCACTCTGCAATGCTGACAGTTTTTACGCATCTCTCACCACCTCACCTCAGTTTCATCCCCGGTCGATGAAGATCTCACTCTTAAATTTAAAACTCTTAAGTTTTTAATGTGAAGATGGATGGATTTAGAAGATGGGCAGTGGATGGATGGACGCTGGAATCCAGATAGTTATTTTAGTAATAGATAAAGGATTGATTAAAACACGTGTTCAGAACTTTGGAAGAGAACTATAAATGCTTAATGTCCTTCAGAGATCAAACATAATTGGCCCTGGTTGTTTTTAGAAATAATATAAATGAATAGTTATGATGCAGTAGCCACTGTGATTTGCACATGGTTTTGAGTGAAACATTTAATTTGCTATAGGATTGAACATTTTCGAAAATAACCTTTAAATTGAGAAGATAGTTCGTCTATTGTGAGGTTTCATTGTGTCAACATTTTCTGGATTCCTGATTCCTCTCTGTTACTAATGGGATTTAAACATGGAAGTACTGGCGATCATGAAAAAGGGCATTTTTTGTTTTGTTTTTTGTTAATGATGCAGTGCTCTTTAACAAGCTTCCCAGGACCTTTGGTAAACAAACTGCATCACAAATGCATCACTATTTGTTACTGAGCATGGGATATATTCGGAATATTTACCATTAGGTTCACCCTAAGCTCATCTGTTATTAGAATGCCTAAAATTAGTTGCATTTGATTAGTTTGCAAAACTCCACTTTGAGTTCATGCTTTAAATATTTATAGTTGTGATGACAGACATGGCTTTTATTTATTTTTTTATCAAATAACCAGCTGACATATAAAGAGTCTCTAATTGTTGCTATGGAGACCCTAAGATGCTCCCTTTAGCTTCATCTCTCCCTCAGCAGGCATTTGAGATTTAATTTCTCTTCCATGACAACAAAAAAAAGCTGTGTGACATCATATTCTAACCCCTGGAAGCCAATTACTTAAACTTACTGATTAACAAAAAAGAAAAGTTTGATTTAAAAAAAAAAAAAATCTTTGAAAATGGATTGTTACAGGGTTTCTATTGTGTCATCAGAAATAAAAAATAAAAACTGAATTTCTTTCCTGCTAATTTAACATCATTAAATTGAAGGATTTTATTTTCTGTTGTGATCTAATGCTACTTCAATTTTAAAAAATGGTTAAGTTGAAGCTTTTCATACCTGTCTTGCGAAAAATGTGGTTAGCTCTGTGTGGACAAAGTGGTTTTCATTTGTTGTTTCCATTCTACTGTCTGTCTGCATGTTAGGGGAACAGATGTACAGCATATTATTATCCCGGATGAGGGCGTCCATATAGATTTGAGGCTCTGGACTGAACTTTGGACTTTCATGCATGGACTAACTGTTGCTAAAGGTGGGGAAGACCTCTTACTGATCAGCCTGGACTTCTAACCTGTAAAGGCTGAAGATTGAAGTTTTGGGCACGCAAAAAGCCTCACCACTTATGGACATGGGAAGAGAATATAAAGATTTATATGCATATATACTAATGTTTGTCTATGTGTGTGAGTAAAATCAAATAATCATGTTGATAATGTTTTTATAGAGGATTTTTGTAGCCCCTGGTTTGTAATTGTTTTCCCTCAGAGTTTCCCCTTCCAGCATAGGACTTCATCTCCAGTTTATGCTGGTTTTAAGAAGGAGTGGATTCTGTATAGAAGAAAGATGAAAAATTAAGAACTATAATGTTCCATGAAATCTCACATATCCTCCTACTTGTTCAGGATTCTGTTGTAAATAAACTTGACACAATAACAGTAAAATATCTCTTTTGTTGAGTTTATTAAAGACATTTTCAAACTACTGAGGTTGACTCTAATTTCCCTGTGGAGATTTTGCAGCTCTTCCAATATAAAAACTATTACTTTTGTTCAAGACCTAGCAACAAGTTATTTAACCCCGACTGGTGCAATTATTTGCTTCTCATTTCCTAAACAACCATGTTGAAAGACATATCCTGCAGTCGTGGAAAAGATGTAAGTCTGTTTGAGAAGGGTCAAATCATTGGCATGCATCAAGCAGAGAAAACATCTTAAGAGATTGCAGAAACTACTAAAATTGGGTTAAGAACTGTCCAACGCATTATTAAAAACTGGAAGGATAGTGGGGACCCATCATCTTCAAGGAAGAAATGTGGCCGGAAAAAAAATCCTGAATGATGGTGATCGGCGATCACTTAAACGTGTGGTGAGATCAAATCAAAGAAAAACAACAGTAGAACTCAGGGCTATGTGTAATACTTAAAGTAAGAGCATTTCCACACGCACAATGCGAAGGGAACTAAAGGGATTGAGACTGAACTGATGTGTAGCCATAAGAAAACCACTCATCAATGAGGCTAACCGGAAAAAAAGGCTTAAATTTGCTAGGGAGTATAAAGATTGGACTGTGGAGCAATGGAAGAAGGTCATGTGGTCTGAGTCCAGATTTACCCTGTTCCAGAGTGATGGGTGAATCAGGGTAAGAAGAGAGGCAGGTGAAGTGATGCGCCCACCATGCCTAGTAACTACTGTACAAGCCTGTGGGGGCGGTGTTATGATCTGGGGTTGCTGCAGTTGGTCAGGTCTAGGTTCAGCAACAGTATGTGCTCAAAGAATGAGGTCAATTGACTACCTGAATATACTGAATGACCAGGTTATACCATCAATGGACCTTTTCTTCCCTGATGGGCACAGGCATATTCCAAGATGACAATGCCAGGAATCATCGGGCTCAAATAGTGAAAGCCTGGTTCAGGGAGCATGACACATCATTTTCACACATGGATTGGCCACCACAGAGTCCAGACCTCAACCCCAGTGAGAATCTTTGGAATGTGCTAGAGAGGGCTTTGCGCAGCGGTCAGACTCTACCATCATCAATGCAAGATCTTGGTAAAAAATTTATGCAACACTAGATGGAAATAAATCTTTTGACATTGCAGAAGCTTATCGAAACAATGCCACAGCGGTCCAACAAAGTATTAGAGTGAGTGACCTTTTTTTTTTGTTGGCAACTTTTTTTTTTGGCCAGGCAGTGTAATTGCAAAACGTCATAGACCTTTTTGGAAGTAACAAATTAGAGCACATTAATGTGAATTTTTAAATAAATAAAGTATATATACTTTTTCTAAATGTTGATATAAAATCTGAATACTGAGGAGTGCCTTAGTATTTATTAACCCATTCAGTACTTTGTGAAACCACCTATTGTTTTATTTAGAACTACCAGACTTTTTGGTTACCTCTCTATCAGCTTTTTAATTGTAGAGACTTACTGTGATATGTTTTTCAATTTTTCTGTGCAAAATAGTTCAAGATTAATCCTATTAGGGCTGGGCAATTAACTGCATTTGTAATAAAATCTAAATTTTACAAAACGCCATTTTCTAAACAGCAGAGGGACGACATTGTGGTTACATTACATTTAACAGACGTAAGACTCTGACATCACTCTAGCCCTTTAGTTGGAGGTAATAAACTTAAAGTTTGTGGGTATGGGTGTATGTCGGATGGGTTGGGTGGGGCTATGGGTAAGGGTTGATGCTTAAATTGTAACTTCAAAATGTGGGTTTGCTGGCATGCAGAAATGAAGATATACCTGTTGCTAGCACACAGCTCTATGCATGCGAACTAGAAGTAAGCACTGTTTCCCACAACAGTAACAGCAAAGCCTTGTGCTAATGTCCTCTGCAAAACAAGATTTCGAGGTCATGAAAACAAAGAAACACTGAATGGAAATATCTGCATGCTTGTGCTTGTTGCAAAGAAAAATCCAAATAATGCAACAAAAATTTGGATTTTGTGGAAATTTTGCCCATAAATTTAAAGCAAAACTTTGCAGCAACCAAGTTTAGTTCCTTCTATACTCTGATCAACTCCAAGCAGTGTCCTCGTCCCTGTTGGAGAAAAGTATGTATGCAGCATGATGCTGCCATTACCATGCTTCCCAGTTGTGATGGTGCGTTCAAGGGGATTTACGTTTATATTTATTTCATCACACTTTGGTTTTTGCTTATAGGCCAAAAATATCTGTTTTGATCTCACTTCTTTAGATCACCTTCTTTAACTTTTTTTACAGTACCCTCTAAATCAGGGGTGGGCAATTTCAGTTCCTGAGGGCCAGTATCCTGCAACTTTTCGATCCATCCTTGGTACAACACACCTGAATCAAATGGATGATTTATCTCCTCAGAATGCAGTCAGTTCTTTTAGTCCTCTCAATAATCTAATTACTTGATTCAGGTGTGCTGAACCAAAGGCACATCTAAAAGTTGCAGGATACCGGCCCTCGGGAAATGGAATTGCCCACTGCTGCTCTAAATGGTTTGGAGCAAAGTGCTCAACAGGGATCCTAATGGCTTTCCTCCTACTGCTTTTCTATGAAGACCAAATTGGTAGAGTGCATAACTCTAAACTTTTCCAACCTGAAACTCTGAAACTCATTCAGGCTTACTGTGGGTCATTTTCCTGCTTCTGTCAAAAAGCTTTCTTTTCCCAACTATTAGTTCAGGTGGATGACAATTTAAGTCATTAATCAGTCTGTTTCCAAAATTGGGATATATATCTGTAACCAACAACTTATTTGAGCCCCCCTCATTACAACCCTGATCTGACCATAGTGAAACATCTGTAATTATACTGAGACTATAACAGACAGCTGTTTAGCCTGCTTGAAAAGCAGACTAAGCAGGCTAATCAGAAACATATGCCACACTCCGAAACATGAAACACATTTACACATTTATGTTCGAGGTTATAAGACTAAATATGTTCAAAGAAAGAAAGAGTTTTAAAAAACACACATCTTGACTTCAGCGTGCATGCTTACAGCTAATATTTCTAAGAAGCAATCATTGTCTTGCTGACCCTGTATGTCGATTAAGTGTTGGATGGTTTGAGCTTGTTTGTCTGC